GAAACCCTGTCTCTACTAAAAATACAAAAAGTAGCCAGACAAGGTGGGGCATGCCTGTAGTCCCAGATACTTGGGAGGCTGAGGCAGGAGAGTTGCTTGAACCTGGAAGGTGGAGGTTGTAGTGAGCTGAGATCAAATCACTGCACTCCAGTCTGGGTGACAGAGCAATACTCAAAAAAAAAAAAAAAAAAATAGTTAAGATCACTAAGTTTATGTTGTGTTTTTTTTTTTTTTTTTTGAGATGGAGCTTCGCTCTTGTTACCCAGGCTGGAGTGCAATGGCGCGATCTCGGCTCACCGCAACCTCCGCCTCCTGGGTTCAGGCAATTCTCCTGCCTCAGCCTCCTGAGTAGCTGGGACTACAGGCACGCGCCACCATGCCCAGCTAATTTTTTGTAGTTTTAGTAGAGACGGGGTTTCACCATGTTGACCAGGATGGTCTCGATCTCTTGACCTCGTGATCCACCCGCCTCGGCCTCCCAAAGTGCTGGGACTACAGGCTTGAGCCACCGCGCCCGGCCTTATGTTGCGTTTTTTTTACCACACACACACACAAATGCCAGGCTGGGCGCGGTGGCTCACATCTGTAATCCCAGCACTCTAGGAAGCCAAAGTGGAAGGATTGCTTGAGCCCAGTAGTTTGAGACCAGCTTAGGCAGCAAAGTGAGACTTCATCTCTACAAAAAGAATACAAAAAATATTTTGGCATGGTAGTGTGTGCCTGCAGTCCCAGCTACTCAGGAAGCTGAGATGAGAGGATCACTTAAGTCCAGGAGTTTGAGGCTGCAGTGAGCCAAGTTCGCACCACTGCACTCCAGCCTGGGTAACAGAGTGAGAATCTGTCTCTAGAAAAAAAAAATGCCAAAGGCCTACTGAAGTCCTAATGTGGCCCTAGGGTAGAGAGGAGACTGCCCAGAAATGGAGCCTGAGGGAGGTCAAGGCAGCGGGGCTGTGCTGTGGGAAGAGCCTCAGCAGTGTCTCCCTCCATCCGTGCTCCAGCCTTCTTTCTCCTGTTCATGGAAGTACTGGGGCACCCTCGAACTGGGCTAGGAGCCAGGACAACTGGGTTTGACTCACGCTAGCCCTTGGGCTATCACAAAAGCAAAAGAGACAGTGTCTGCTCACCTAGCCCAGCCTGGCCCAGTCCACACCCCAGGGACAAATGCAGGCGCGGGAGGATTCTCCATCGACCCAGGGAGAGGCCCAGGAACTAGGGACGTGCCACTCTGCCTGGGGTCTGCATGTCCCACCAAGCCTTCCTGGCTGAGGCTCAATGCCCATGGGTGCTAGTACCCCAGACCCTGACCACACAGATCTCTGCACAGGCCCTTGGTGCAATCACTGTGCCCCTGGAAAGCTGCCAATTGAATCCCACCTTCCCGTTGGCTCACTTGGACATTTCAAAGCTGCTTTCCTGCTGAAGAGGGGCTTGCTGTGAGCATTTCTAGTGTATTTGTTCCCTGTTTGTCCTTAAGGGGACATCTATGCCTCAGGATTTAGGCAGAGATGAGGGAGTGGGGAAGGTTTCTCAAGGAGCAGTTGGCCTTGGCCTATGTGGAGGCAAACAGGGAGGCAGTCCCACCAGGGAGTCCCCAGCGTGAGTGGGGAGAACGAGCAGTCACACTGCACTGCGGCTACCTCCTTTCTCTGGCTGAGCAGGAGAGTGGAGAGAGTGTAGCTTGCCCGGGGGAAACTGAGATGGGCTCCCTGCCCACCCTAAATCCCCTGTTCCAGACCTACAGCCCCTGACCAGATCAGATAGGGCACGTTCCTGCAGCGAGCTGCCCACTTACTGGGACCGTGCTGACGCAGGCAGGGAAATATTAACCCGGCAGAATGGGTGCATGCTCATGTGTGCACAACTTGGGGTGTGTGTGTGTGTGTGTGTGTGTGTGTGTCTGTGTGTCTGTATGTGTATGTAGGTCCTGGACAGTCACAGTTTAAGCATCAAGAGGGCTTGAGGTTAGACTAAAGGTTTACCAGGCATAATTGTCTCAAATATTGTTTCTCTGAAATTCTAATTTAACTGGACATCTTATATTTTATCTGGTAACTCTACTCAAGCCCATCCTATGAAGAAAGGACCCCAGGTGTCCCCTCTCTGCCCCGCCCCCACTATCTCCACTGACCCAGAGATCCAGAGACCCCCTCCCCCAGGCTCTATGCAGACTCACATGCTTCACAGCTCTGACCCAAACTTCTGCCTCAGTGGCCCCTCTAGCTGCCTCTCTTCTCTCCACAGTTGAATTTTCTTCCTCTTCAGCCTCTGCTTCTTCAGCATTGTTGGCGCCCTCTATCCCCACCAGCTCATCCAGACAGCCATCTGCAAATACCTGCCTGGCCAGCCCCTCTCAGCACCCAAATCTGGGGCAACAGCCCCCTACTGGCTCCCATCAGCCTCTGGGAAGCCCTGAGTCTAGGTTTCCAGCTCCGTCCCCATCTGCTCCTTGTTCATCATTCCTGTTCCCCAGAATCCTGGCCCTGGCCCTTGCCTCACACCCTCTGCTTCTTGGCCAGCCCTATCAGCTCTAGTGCTGAATGCCCAGGGGCTGGTATCTCCTCTTCTCTTTCTCCAGCTAGACCCCTCTCCCGAGCCCAGGCCTAACTGTGCCCTTGCCTGCTGGATGCCCTGGGGCCTCAGAGATCTCAGGTTGACCCGTTGCTCTTCTCTTTGCTTAGAACCCTTCGAAGGCTCCTCAGGCCCTCAGTTAAAGTCTGAACTCCTTGGCCTGGCAGACAAAGCCCTTTCTGGTCTATCCCTGCCCACATCTGCAGCCCTCTGCAGGCCACTCACAGCTCCCAGGTTTTCTCACGGTCCCATCAGGCTTCACATGCCATGGTGCCCTTCCTCCCCCTGCTTGTTTTGGAAAACTCACTTCGTATGTCACCTCTTCCAGAAGACCCTTGTCCCCCTTCAGCTTGGGCTAGCTCTGCCTGTATTCCTTCCGGCTTCTCCGGTGTGTCCTAAGTCACCTGCTGCTTACCTGTCTCTGCCGTGAGACAGATGGGACTGTGTCTTTTCCACCTCTCGTCCCCAGAGTCAAGCCCTCTAAAAGAGCTCAGGGTCTGATCTCCGACCCCAATGTAGATTCCAATTCCCTCCCTTAACAACCTGACACCAGCCCAATCCAACTCCGCCCAAGTGCTGGCCTCATTCAAGACTTCAGCTCCACTTCTAACATTACCTCATCCCCGGCCCTGGGAGCACACATGGGAAAGGAATAAAGGCAGGGCTCCCCATTTCCAGACGTGCATCCCTCCCTTCCTGAGGAAGAGACGCTGAGTCCCAAGCCCACTTACAGTCTGCAGAGGGAGGCTGGGCGCAGTGGCTCACGCCTGTAATCCCCGCACTTTGGGAGGCTGAGACGAGTGGATTACCTGAGGTCAGGAGGTGGAGACCAGCCTGACCAACATGGCGATACCCCGTCTCTACTAAAAATACAAAAGAATTAGCTGGGTTTGTTGGTGCATGCTTGTAATCCCAGCTACTCGGGAGGCTAAGGCAGGAGAATCAGGAGAATCACTTGAACCTGAGAGGTGGAGGTTGCCATGAACCAAGACTGAGCCACTGCACTCCAGCCTGGGCAACAGAGCAAGACGCTGTCTCAAAAAAAGAAAAATAAAGAAAGAAAAGGAAAAGAATCTGCAGAGGGTAGTTAGTGCCTTACGGAGGGCTTCTGACTAGGAAGGTCTGCGGCTGCAGCCAGCCGGTTCCTCTCCCTGCAGAAAAAGCTGGAAGGGGTGGGAAGGTGTGTGTGGGGGTGGGGACTGGGGCTGTGTAGGTTCCCGACCTGGCTCAGCCTTTGGCACCCTCTACAGGACAGTTCCATTCCCAGACCTGGGCTTTGGACAACTGAATCCTCTGCCCTCTCCCACCAAAAAATGGAGCCGAGCCCCAGAAGTTCCTAGGACTTACCCACCATCCAGCATGCTACGTAGCAAGTGTCCTTAGAGTCTGCAGACCGAAACCCCTCCCTTGTGTGTCAGCACTGGGTCACCTGCTGAAAGTCCAAACTGCCTGCCTATTGTTTGAGGCCCAGTCAGGTCTTGGCCCCAAAAGTCCTCTTGGACTGCCGCTAGTCTCCAGGCTGTCTCCTGAGCCCACCTCGGTCCCGGAGCTCCCAGGCTGCTGAGCCCAAGCCCCACGCCCTGGATGAGCTCTGGCTCCTTCACCAGGGCCTTGCTGGCCTTTCCTAAGGGAGGGGTTTTCCCGAGGACAGGGTCTAGGTTTCCCCCTACCCTCTCCTCCTCAGACTACAGGCCCTCAGAGGACTCGGCCTGGGCTTCTACCTCCTCTCTGAGACTGGTGTTTCTCTGCTCGTGTGTCCTCCTTCCTCTCAAACAAGGGGCCCCTGAGAACTGGGCCTGAGTCTCCCTTTCCCCCTTCAGAATGGGGGCTCCCTGAGGACTGGCCCAGACCCCCTCCCCTCCCCTCCCCCTGGCTGTTGATCTCAAACACTTCTACCTGCAGTCCCATTCTATGCAGCTCTCCCCATCGCTGGGGGCTCAGAGCCCTCTGCAGCCTCCCCCACGGTGGGGGTCCAGGAGGGCTTCCTCAGGCGCTGGCCCCAGAGTCAGGCTGCCAGACTTCGATCACCACCTGCAGAGGTCTGTCCTGCGGATGCTGACTCAACGACGGAGGAATGAATCACTCTCACACCTGGTTCAGTGATTCAAGTGGGCTAGGGATGATTGTCGCCACTTTCAGAGGGTAAGATGCAGCCAATTGGCCAAGACGCCCTGCACACTCACACCTTTATTCAGTAAAAGATTTCATAACAGAGCAACACGCTGGCGGATAATTAACATGGCTAAAAGGGTGGTTTTACGAATGATAAAAGCTTTAGGTTCTGGGCCCAGAGCAAGCACTATGGACGGGTAATTCCCCTTTGATCTCCCCCTGAGAGGGTCATCCAGCACAAAGTTTACATGAGTACACAGTTACAGTAGAGACAAAGGGATGTGGGCTAAACAGATTTAAACTGGGAAAGCCTCTTATCGTCCCTATCTCTTCCCGGCTGCCTTCAACCTGTCCAAATAAAACCTTTTGACCTTCTAAAAGGTTTGAGACTTAATCTATAGCTTTCCCTAATATTTTGCCAGCCACCCTGAGTGAATCTCCACGAGGCTGCACATTGGCTTGGAGGACAGGCCTCTCCTCTGGGACTGTGAGGCCCAGAGTGCCCACCTGGAGCTCCACCTCTGACCTCACAAGGGCTGCTTCAGAACTCGGTCTCCACGGCACCGCTGGCAGGAAGAGGGATGCTATTTTGGGCAGTGCATCTGGACTTGGCTCAAGCAGCACCAGCCAAACCCCTGCCTTACTGACCTCTCCCCTGGAGGAGCAGGAGCAGCGCTTGGGGCCACCCTGGGAGGGCTGAGAGGCGGGCTCTGGACTGGGGACACAGGAACAGCCAAGCCCCAGCTGAGGGTGGAAGCTGAGCCAGGGACGGTCATGGAGGAACAAGATCAGACGTACTTTAACTGAGAAGCCCCCAAGGCAGAGGCTGAGAATCAGAAGATATTTCAGCAGAGTGAGTGGGGCTCCAGGCAGGGTGGGGTTGGGCCGGCCTTCTCAGTGCCCAGACCTGGAAGGGCCACTCCCTGGGTACCATACAGGGAGGAGGGGACTGTGGGACTGTCAGAGGAAGGAGCCCCCGCTGGGAGTGAAAGGCCTGGCTTTCTTGTTCTGTTGCAGTCCTGTGTTGCTGTGTGACACAGGCACACAGACCCTCTCTCTCGGCCTCAGTTTCCTTAACTGTAAGTTGGCTGTTGGGAGGACCAGCAGTGGGGCAGAGAAGGCAGGGTGTGCTGGGCTGGGCTGTCAGCAGAGCATGCGGTGGGGTGAGGAGAGAGCTGAAGACCTCCGGCACTGGACCACAGCGGGAGGGGTGCAGGCCATAGATGGGTCAGCTGCCGGCTTGCTGGAGTTGTTCCTTCCACGCAGTCCCCTCCTGCAGGGCTGGGGCCGGGGCTGGAGAATTTCTGCAATCAGGGCTGGGGATGTGAGTTCATGCTGCAGCTAGAGGGAACTGGGCTAGAGAATGAGGACAGATAGTGTGAGGGGACTTGGGGCTACCTTCATGCTGTCAGAGAGAAAGATAGGAGCACAAAGGGAAATTTTTTTTTTTTTGAGACAGAGTTTCACTCTCCTTGCCCAGGCTGGAGTGCAATGGTGTGATCTCGGCTCACTACAACCTCCGCCTCCCAGGTTTAAGCGATTCTCCTGCTTCAGCCTCTGGAGTAGCTGGGATTGCAGGTGTGTGCCAGCATGCCTGGCTAAGTTTTTGTAGAGACAGGGTTTCTCAAGGTTGGTCAGGCTGGTCTCGAACTCTTGACCTCAAGTGATCCGCCCGCCTCAGCCTCCCAAAGTGCCGTGATTACAGGCGTGAGCCACTATGCCCAGCCTACAAAGAGGAATTTTTAGGTGAGGTGCACAGGTGAAACGAGTTTTCAGGGCCTAATCCTGTGTGTTCATCGTCTGTGTGCACGCGCGCTCATGCGCAGGTCCCAGACAGTCACACTTTAGCAGCAAGAGGTCTTGAGGTTAGACTAAATGTATAGCACGCAAATATGAGAGGCTTGAGCCACTAAGCAGAGGCTGAGGCCGTCTCCAGGGTTGCAGACAGGGAAGTTGAGGAGGACTGCTGGAGGGTCTGGCCTGGGGTTGGTCCTGGGGCCAGCTTGGGTGGTCCAGAGCGTCTCCTCATTGGCTGAGCACTGCTCCTCCCTCTGCTGCTAGGCTGGGTTAAGGGAGTGGCACTAGCAGGAGCTGCCCCGAGGCTTCTCCCCTGTAGGCTGAGGTCTGATGAAAGTGTGGGGCCACGTGCTGTGTCTTCCAGCCCTAGTGACCTTTCTCTGGCTTCACAGCGTCTACAAATCTGCAAGACAAAACATGATTCAGGCATCCAAGCACAGGCGGTAAGTACCTTACCCGGTTCCCCAACTCCAGCCCCCTGTCCTCCACCCAGCACACCTCAATGCCCTCCTTGCCCCTCCTCAGCCTCTCCTTTGGGGCGGCTGTTCCGCCTCGACCTCCTCCTCCTCACCCACCCACTAGCCTATGAGGTCCCAGAAGAAGAGCGTCTTCCACCTTCTCTCACATCCCTGTGGTGCAGCCAAGCCCGGGCTGGGTCCTGAGCTGAGGGGAGGCTCAGAAAGACTTGGATGAGGGTCAAGGCATGCAGGAGGCCTTCAGCAGAACTGAACTCAGCACTTCTAACCCTCTCAGGCTCAGCTGTCTTTGGGGTGAAACTAGAACCAGTCCTTGCAAATGGCCAAGGCCCTGCCTATCTAGTCGTTGCTACCTCTCTGGCCTCCCCACTCCAGGCCCTGCTCTCCTTCCTCCAGCCACACTGAGTTTCTTTTCTTTCTTCTTCTTTTTTTTTTTTTTTTTGAGATGAAATCTTGCCTCATTACCCAGGCTGGAGTGCAATGGCGCCATCTTGGCTCACTGCAACCTCCACCTCTCAGGTTCAAGCAGCCTCCCAAGTAGCTGGGACTACAGGCGCCTGCCACCACGCCCAGCTAATTTTTGTTTTTTTAGTAGAGACAGGGTTTCACCTTGTTGGTCAGACTGGTCACGAACTCCTGACCTCAGGTGATCCACCCACCTCAGCCTCCCAAAGTGCTGGGATTATAGGTGTGAGCCACCTCCCACTACCTTTTTTTTTTTTTTTTTGTATTTTTGGTAGAGATGAGGTTTCGACATATTGGCCAGGCTGTTCTTGAGTGATCAGGTGATCCTGATCACCTGACCTCAGGTGATCCACTTGCCTCGGCCTCCCAAAGGGCTGGGATTACAGGCCTGAGCCACCGCGCCTGGCTACCTTCCACCATTCTTTCTACCACTACCCTACTCCCCCATAGCCATGTTAGGCCACCACCTGCCCATTTTCAAAACACCTTTCAGTTCCCACCTCCCCTGCCTCCCCTGAGGTCCCCCAGTCCCAAGCTTCTTCTCTGTAGTGGTGTTGCCATTACCCATCTCTTCCATTAAACGGAGTGACCTAAGGGTGGAGAGTGGGTTTTAACTTTGTGTTCCTGGTGCTTGACTCATAAGTAGATGCTCAACACTTTTTTTTTTTTTTTTTTTTGAGACAGAGTCTTCCTCTGTTGCCCAGATTGGAGTGCAGGTGGCATGATCTCGGCTCACTGCAACTTCTGCTTTCTGAGTTTAAGCGATTCTCATGTCTCAGCCCCCCTAGCTGGGATTATAGGTGCCTGCCACCATGCCTGGCTAATTTTGTTTATTTTTAGTAGAAAGGGGGTTTCGCCATGTTGGCCAGGCTGGTCTTGATCTCCTGATCTCAAGTGATCCACTTGCCTTGGCCTCCCAAAGTGCTGGGATTACAGGTGTGAGCCACCATGCCTGGCCAACAAATGTTTGTTGAATGAAGAAATGTTGGTTAGCAGGTTGAATTGTTGGCTTGTGGTTAGTTAGATAGTTTATGGTTGACTGGTTGATTAGATAATTAAATGAGTTAATAGCTGGTTAACAGAAGAATCAGTTAAGTTGATAGATTAGTCATAGGGTTAGTAAGCCACCAGGAGTGGTGATTCATGCCTATAATCAGAGCACTTTGGGAGGCTGAGGCAGGAGGACTGCTTGAGTCCAGGAGTTTGGGACCAGCCAGGGCAACATGGCAAAACCCCATGTCTACAAAAATAGAAAAAAATAGCCGGGTGCGGTGGCTCAAGCCTGTAATCCCAGCACTTTGGGAGGCCGAGGCGGGTGGATCACGAGGTCAAGAGATCGAGACCATCCTCGTCAACATGGTGAAACCCCATCTCTACTAAAACTACAAAAAATTAGCTGGGCATGGTGGCGCGTGCCTGTAATCCCAGCTACTCAGGAGGCTGAGGCAGGAGAATTGCCTGAACCCAGGAGGCGGAGGTTGCGGTGAGCCGAGATCGTGCCTTTGCACTCCAGCCTGGGTAACAAGAGCGAAACTCCGTCTAAAAAAAAAAAAAAAAAA